CTGTTAAACCCACAGACAGAGAAGAGTTGGACCACTGGAGGTACGACGAACCTCCATCTNCAGTAATAGTAATGGAATCGGACGCGAATACGAGGGGTTCAGATGAGGACATTTGAACTGGAGCGTCGAAAACTGCATTGTCCTCATAGAAGACAAAAGTGTTTTCTCCATCACTGTTCNTAAGAGCCAGTATGTTAGTATCCCCAGTTCCAGAGGGAACGATGCCGAAACCTCCAGCATCTTGGCATAGCAATGGATAGCTTNAACCTGTTTCAGTTCCTCGTTCTCCGAGATAAACAGGATAGGCTCCTCCTNCTTGAACTNGACGGGTAAACTGAGACCTAGTGTTCNCTGTCNGCAAGGAATCCGTTGCAGTCNATGCAGGTTCGGAGCCTGACTCGAAACCAAGAGATATAGAGGAATCAGTCCAGTTGAGGTAGGAGCTCCCGCCGTCCACGGAAATTGTGATGTTCTCCTGGCCAAACTCAAGAGAGGAAGGAAGATTTNACTGAACAGAATCATTAAATAAAGATATCGAAGGAGAAGTTCCATCCACAAATCCTNAAGACAACGAGGAGTCCGACCATGTCNCGTAAGAACTTCCGCTGTCCACTGTCNGAGTTNCAGAAGAAGCTGAAAAAGCCAAAGGTTCAGATGTTGAGAGAACTNACTGCTCGTTAAAGTTTGCTGAACCTGAAGTGAACTCAAAAGCGGCGCCACCAGTTCCTNGTTCAGTGATAGCATCCACCGTGAAATTCNGTGCCAAAGAGTTCCCACTCCAATTTNCGGAGGAAGAACCATCATCTNCTNATATAGTAACACCAGAAGCAGTAAACGACAAAGGAGTAGTAGCCGAAGAAGTAATAGTTGAGGTGAAATTGGTCGTCGCATTGGTGAAAGTTNCCTGTCCCGATGCAAAGGCCAACGTATCAACCTCTCCAAATAGCAGACGATTGTTAGTTNACGTAATAGCAGGTTCGCTGCCGTTTNTCNAGCCTNCAGAAAAGGAGTTATCATTCCAATAGACATAAGAACTACCACTATTCNCAGATATCGTTNTTCCTTCTGCTTCAAATGAAACAGAGCTTGGCTCGCCTNCAGCAATGTAATCATTTGATAAGCTCNACGCAGGATTCCCTCCATTTTCAAAACCAACTGCTNATTCACTTCCTGTCCAATGCATGTAGGAGCTCCCTGAATCAACTGTCNACGTTNTATCGGAAGCAGAGAACACGAATTCACTAGCAGTTCCTNCGATAATTTCATCATTGCTCNATGCAAGCGCCCCCATCGATCCTCCTTCAAAACCTNTAGAAAGAGCAGCGTCTGACCATTGAATATACGATGAACCGCTATCTNCTGTAACTGTCNCCGAAGACGCCGTAAACTCTNAAGGTTCAGAAGACGTAAGAACCAGAGGTAAATAGAAACTCGCAGAGTCTGTGCTAAACAAATAGATGTTTGTACTTTCCTCGTTCNGTATAGTAAAAACGTCGCCGCTACCACTAGGAATGATACCGAAGCCTTGGCCATCTTGACACAGCAAAGGATACGTCNGACTACCAGGAGCTGTCCCAGTTGCTCCGATGTATACGGGATACTCACCACCGACTTCCAACATATGAGTGAACTGAGCTCTGGTATTCNCAGTAAACAACGAATCTGTAACTGTGAAAGGAGCAGATCCTCCCTCAAAGCCTNTAGACAGAGAAGTGTCTGACCATTGGATGTACGATGAACCTCCATCTNCAGTAATAGTAATGGAATCGGATGTGAATACAAGGGGTTCAGATGAGGACATTTGAATGGGAACGCTAAAGACAGCATCATCCACGTAGAAATTATAGACATTATCCCCTGCAGGATTCNTAAGATTCNGTATGGAGTTCCCACTAGAATCAGAAATGACTCCGAAACCTCCATCATCTTGGCATAGCAATGGATAGCTTNAGCCCGTTTGAGAAGCTCCTCGTTCTCCGAGATAAACAGGAAGGTTTCCTCCTNCTTGAACTNGACGGGTAAACTGAGACCTAGTGTTCNCGGTGAACAAGGAATCCGTTGCAGTCNATGCAGGTTCGGAACCTGACTCGAAACCAAGAGATATAGAGGAATCAGTCCAGTTGAGGTAAGAGCTCCCACCGTCCACAGAAATTGTAACGTTTTCCTGACCAAACTCAAGAGAGGAAGGAAGAGCTNACTGAAGAGAATCGTTGGATAAAGATATCGAAGGAGAAGACCCATCTGCAAATCCTNAAGATAACGAAGAATTCGACCAGTTCNCGTAAGAACTTCCAGTATCAACTGTAATAGTAACATCCGATGACTCGAAGGACAAAGGATAACCTGGTGAGAGAATCNATTGATTCGTGAACTCAGCTGAAGAAGGACTGAAAGAGTAAAGAGCGTCCCTCGAGGATGGTTCAAAAACAGTGAAATAAGGACCAGTAGTCGCTGCACTATCCGGTAAAATTCCAATTCCTGAGCCCCATTGACCGATCNATGGATAGCTTNGTTCTTCAAGGTTACTCGACATGCCCGATGCGCTGATGTAAATAGGATAAGGACCGCCAAATTCAACCAAGTTATTAAATTGAGCCCGCATGTTCNCAGAAAACGACGAATCAGCAATTGCAAAAGGAACAACCCCCGACTCAAATTGCAGAGAAAACGAGCTCCCACTCCAATTGATATAAGAGCTACCAGAGTCAACAGATATCGTCNCATTCGACGCAGAGAATGCCAATTCATTCGGACTTCCAACGGCAATTTCATCGTTGCTCNGCGTGAGAACTTCGCTGGACCCCCCTTCGAAACCCAAAGACAGAGAAGAATTCGACCACTGCAGATAAGACGAGCTATCTNCTGTAATGGTGATGGATGAGGCAGTAAACTCTNAAGGAGTGTCTGATGAAAGACTGCACGGTTGAGAGAAGGACACGCCTTGAGTGCCAAAAGTGTACGCGCGATTCAGTGATGAGTCATAAATTCAAGGAGCGTACTTGTAGTCCCCCCTCCTATGGCAGCTGACCCGTCATTATCTG